CAATTACTTCTATTAGTATACAAAATCTTAGTAGCAAATACAAACACTATTTTTCACTAGACTTACAAAACTCAGATATAAATATCACACAGATTATACAACTTCTTAAAGAAGAATTCATATTCAAAAACCTTTTAAATAATTATATTAAAGCCAAGCCATCTCATTTAAAAGATATCAACAATATTAAAACACCAAACACATTTACCTTTCCAATAACAGATAACCAACAGGCAAAATGATTTATAAATCAGATTGCATTAATTTATAAGTTTTCTCTTCTATTACTATTTAGTATAATGTTAATAAACCCTATAGACAAATCTACCTTATCTGAAAATCTACAGAAAATTAAAAATCTTAATATTACAACTTCTATAATATTAACAAAAAAACTTGTAAACACAGCTAGAGCACTAAGACAAACATACTATTTCTACTACATTTTAGACACTTGAATTAATATATCTAAAAATACCAAACAAATAGACACACAAAATATAAACCAAGATAAAAACAAAAACTTACCCAAATCTGCAATTCCAAACTCACTAACAGAAATCAAAAATTAACTAATTATAAAAAAAATAGATTTTACTTAAATACCTATTTCAATTATATAACAAATAAAGGCAAAGGATATACTAGAGCTACTATGACAATACTTTACTATTAACAACATTTCAGACAACCTTTTAGCACTGCTACCTCTTTTAGAACCAAACTAAAAGATCTTTTTACTTAAGATCCAACAATAACTGCATATTCTAGCAATTTAAATATACTAACATCAATGTTTAACTTTACAATAAACCAATCTACTATTAATCCTATTAATCTTAATAATCTAACAATATGTATTTACAATATGTAAGAAATTAACAACAACCTTAAATTATAACTTTGACTTGAATATTACTATAAACAACATTTTCACATTATCTGTATACAAGAAACAAACATTGCAGAATTCACTTTTACAAAACTTCAAGTAGCCAACTCATATTACAAAATCTACATATTTAACTGCAACACAGATATAAAAAAAATAAGAAAAAGCAGTCTTGGTGCAACAATTGCACTATATCTACAATTTCAACCTTATATACATAATATTGCAATATAATTAGACACTGCAATCATAATAGATCTGTTTTTTATACAGTATAATAAAACTAGTTTGATATTAGTATACCTATTATTATCCAACTAGCAACTCTTAACCAATACTTAAAACATAATAATAACATGAATACAACATGCCCAAATAAGTTTTATTATATAATTATTACTAGTAGTTTTAATAACAATTTACTATCTAATACAAGCAGAAAAAAAATTACTTTACTTTATTATCTTATTACTTACATCTTTATAAGCATTTTTAACTACTTTGAAATTAGTACATCTATTTAGCAATGAACAAACCAATTTAGCTAGAATGTAACAACTTAGTAAAGTAATCAAGTTGTTAACCTCCAAGTAGCAAATCTAAAGTTTAAATTCTAGTCTTGGTAAAAATTTGTAATTCTTTCTGTATTATAATTAACTGTCTTTCAGAATTAGTTAAAATCGATATCTGTTATTATGTCACACTAGCATAACTAAAAAATTATATAGCATTTATATAATCTTGTACAAAGAAACACAAAATGGTATCAAACAGAATAAACTCATAATAAGTTTTATAGCCATGTAAATTACTAAAATCAGAAAGACAAAAGCTTACTTGAAAAATCCAGATAGAGAGATAATCTAAACTTTCAACAGTATTATAGTAAAAACTAGTCTATAAAACAGCCTATATAATTTGTGAAGCCAGATAAAGACAAATTGGTTTTTGGAAAAGGGCTATTGCAACTAGCCAAGCTGCTAAGATTCATTCTGAAGAAAAAGGCTACATGCCAGAGAACTTGTAAACCAAAGATATAGTTTACTTATCTTTTTGAGTTATCTAAACTAAGAGCTTAATAAAACTTAATTAAAATATCAAAGTAGTAGAGATATGTTGTAAAGTAAGTACTAAGATTGAAGTAAACTTTACAAGAGCATAGTAGTTTAATGATATGCTCTGATTGCAAATGTTGGTCTTGGTTATAGCATTACTAGATTAACTGTAAAAATAGAATACAGAAGATTCTGAAAGGTTTAGTACAAGGTCAAAGGTCTTCATAAGAGCAACTATCTTAGAGACTTAGTAATCATAACATATTTGTATCAGTACTGACTAAAGCATATTGGTAGATATAGGTAGATTGGGTGGATACAGGAACTAAAGTGCTTAAATAGAGAATCTACAAGCAAATTTCAAATATGACAACTAGTGTAAAACCTTTAGGCAGACTACTTAAATTAGACAATAACTAAAGTTGTATAAGTGATTAGTTATATTGTTATAGATAAAAGCCTTCTTAATTTTCATATTATAATAATGACATGGCACAGAAAATTCCTTATGAGTATATATAATATTCAAGAAAGAAGTATAGCTTCTGTTAGACATTGTTAAGAAACTATACTCTTTTCTGAAACAGTTTAAGAAAGGTAATGCAATACTAATAACTTTACTTTATTTTACTAAGAGATAATAAACTTTGTCTGTAGAAATTATTCTAGAGAAAAAGTATCAATACAGTTTATAATCAAAGCTGTTTATTAAAGTAATAACAAGAAGGGCTATTCTTAGGTTACTGTTTCTAAAAAATCTCATAATGTGTTTACAATAAGAGGTATATCTGTTGCTTAATCACACTTGGAAAATTTAGTAAAGTTTATATATCTGTAAGCTAAGTGGCTAAGTAGCCAAGTAACTAAATAACTAAGCAACTAAGCATTAAGTGACTAAGCAACTAAGTAATTATTAAGTGATTAGAAGGTTTAAGCAACTAATAACTAATAATTACTAAATGACTAATTACTAAGCAACTAATTACTAAACAACTAAGCAACTAAATGACTAAGTGATTACTAAGCAACTGGAAAGTTTTAGCAACTACTACTAATAATAATAATACAATAATAAAATAACTAATACTAAATAATAATAATAAAATAATAATAATAATAATAACTAATAATAATAATAATTCATTCTATAACAATACACTTTTTTTATAATTGACTTCTGTAGTTGTAATGCAATCATTAGCTAAATGTATTATCAAAAAAATTCTGATTCACAAGTACTTATCTTAATATTAAAAAAAAAACCAATCGAGCCAAATTGACAACATATAGATGTCATATAATATTATATACCAAATTGATATACCAACTCTAACAAACCAACTGAATCTACAAAAAGCAATTATAAAATAATATACACAACCTAGAATACCAACTTTATAATTAAATATAAAAAACATAAAAAAAAAAGAACAATATATTTATACAAACAAATAAACAAAAACAAATAGAAAGATTTCAAAACAAAAGTTAACTTATATATAGAAAATTCAACTAACACACCAACTAACCTAATATCTTATATTAAAATGCTTAACAAGCAATAGCACAAACTTAGCATAGCAATAACAAAAGCAGCTAATAAAACAATCTTAATAACAAAAATTACATCTTATACTCATTTGGTACATATTTATTAAAAAATTAATATTATTTCACACAGTACAAAAAAATATAAACAAATGTTTATACATAGTTACATCTACTAAACTATCTATATTATTATAACAAACTATTATACAAATTAACCACCTACTAGAAAAAACACAAATACTAATAAATTTTCCTATTATAAAGCTTAACAAAGATAGCTTAAACTATACCAACTTTAGCAATACTGTTGGCCAACTATGCAGAAATTTTAAATTTTGATAAATATATTATGATATAATTATTATATGAATAAATGTTAGTTTACATCCTATTATATAAATTATTTATTACAGATTATATAAAATTCAACAATCACTAATACAACCTATCTACACATTTTTTTTTGTAACCTTAAGCAGTTATACTAGTACTTTATTAAGATTCTTAAAACTAAATACATTTATAATTACATAGAATTTTCTAATACTTAAGTCTAGCATTACTCAGCTACCCTATTGGTACCTAAGTGCAACCTGCTGCACTATCTCAGTTAGAGATAGACTGCTTATCTAACTACTTAAAGCCATACTAGAAAGGTCTTTTTCTTCTATACCAAGTATATCAATTGTCTTCAAAACTTCTTCCTTCATTCAGTTCGTTTTTTCTACTTTCTTTTTCTTTTCTTTTTTCTTTGTCACCTTATTCTTTTTTCCTTTTTTTTCTGATCTTCTTTTAATTTGAGCACCTTTTTTCATTTTGTTTGTTATATTAACTTTCTTTTTCCATTCTTGTACTTTCTCATATCGAACTCTCTATACTTGGTCGAAGAATATATTCCACACTATTTTTGTGACTATATCTATGCATTTTTGTGTTGCCTGGCTATTTAAAATATGACTGATCTGCTTTTCAATTTTATTCATTGTTAGCCCTTTTATTAAAGCTGTTCTATTAGCAATTTCCTCTGCTTCTGTTTTCCCAAATAATGCCTCATATAGTACTAAAGGCAGAATTCTAACTTTTTTATTTTCTTTAAGGCTATTCCATGTTGCTGCTGTTGCTACCTTTTGAATTCTCTTCTACAAACTTCTTTGTCCACTGCAGCTTGCTAGATGTGCTTGAGTTTCCTTTTTACCTTCTTGACATACTTGGACCTATTTATATATTATTATTTTGCAGTTTTATATATTTTTATAATAATGTAACCTTTCTAAACTTTTTTTTTATTTAAAGTAACTTCTAACAAAACCCACTTGTCTCATATTGTTTTTTTAATACTTTGTGAATTCTTTATTTCTATTTTTCATTTTTGATAGGAACTAACTAATCTTGCAACATGTTAACATTCTTTGTTTTTTTAATATTTTTAACTATACTGCTATACTGTTGTATATTTATAGATTAATAAATTCAAATTTAAATAAGCAAGATGACCTCTAAATATGGCTAATCAAGTAGCTAATGTTGAAGCCATTACCTTCTATACTGTTAGTGCTGAGGCTAGTATTTTCTAGTCCTATGTAATTATACTTGATCAAGTGGCTAATGCTGAGACTTACATGACTAATTTTAAAGTCAGTAACTTCCAAGTAGTTAATGCTAAAATCACCAACTCTTATATAACTACTATTCAAATTGATACCTCACACTTGGTTAATATCAAAGCCAACACTCTTTATGAAAATGTGATTTATAATAATGTTAGGCCTCTTATAGCAATACAACTACTAAAGAGATTAAAAGTATAAGTATTAATAATGCTATAATATAGTATATTAGTAATACTATAATGTAGTAATTATTGTTTTAAGACTAATTTTAATGTTATAAATTTTTAAAAACAGCTTCAAATGAAATGTATAATTTTTCTTTGTTAAAAATTAGTTATATGTTTTATTCATAAAATAATGTTGATTTGTTTCTTAAAACTTATGAACAATATAATAGGTTGAACAGCATAATAATGATATAATTAGATATTAATCTTTTGAATATAAATTTGAAGAAAAATATATATCTAAAAAGAATGTTAATATTAACATCCACCATAACTGACAGTCAAAACATCAGGAGTGTAAATGGTATATTAATTTGAATTTTTCTACTTATATTATAGTTACAATATTCAGTAATACTTACAACTATAAACCTCACCTTGAGAATTGTAAATATAGTGCTAAATTTAAGTTCAATAAACAAGATGTGCTTAGTAATATTAAATTTTATACAAAGAATAGAAATTTTTTATTACTGTACAACATCAATTGTTAAAAGCCAAATATTCCAATGAGACTTTTTTGAATATGGATCTTGCTAATACTATTCAATATTTCAAAGTCAAATCTTAAGATCTTACAGAAGATGCTTCATATCTTTTATCATTTTTTATTGAGAAATGTTCAGTTGAATTTGGTTGGAGTGTTGAATTCAAGTTAGATAATAATAAATGTCTCATCTGGCTTTTTTGAATAACTTCTACACAATTATCTCTTTGGCTCAAATATTATGATGTTATTCTTAATGATAATGCATTAAAGATGAATCAATATCAAATACAACAGGAGGAACCATCAATGTTATACTAATGATTTTTCACTTGGTGTGCAGCATATAAAAAAATCATCTTACAATACCAGATCATTCTACTAGTACATGTTATGATTATAATTTTATACTATTTTTATTATAATAAAATAGTGTGAGATTATAATCATAACATGTACTAAAAGCCAGGTTGCTTGGTTATTTTTAAAAATTGTTATAAGAATCAAAAAATAATTATATATTTTTTTTATTAATTCAATAAACATGATTTTTTTGATATTTGATTTTTTCACATTGTGATTATTGATCTGCACGATTGGTCACGTGGGTACAAGGCTTTAGCGGACCCCCATTTTTGGGTTTGTATAACTTGCAGAAGTGTACGCTATGTTATGTATAATGTAGTGATACAAATCGAAATCGATTAATCGATTAATTAATATTAATCGATCAACCAACCAATCAATTAAAAAAATTTTGACGATTTGTAACACTAGTATAACGAGGATATTTTGAGAATGTCTGTTCTATTTCTGACCTAAATGAATGCAAAACTATAGCAAGCAATCAAATCTAAAATCATTAAAATGAACCACCCATTTTTGAGATACCGGCATTATTGACCAGAGAAAATCACCACTCAGAAAAGTTTCGAATATCATGTGATATTGTCAATTCATATGATTAGATTATGTGATAATACTTGTTAAAATATTTACATAATTGACTTAGTAAGTAATTTTTTTTCTTCGATTATTCAAAGTGAAAAGCGATCTTTAAAAGCGTAAAATCCAATAAACACTATCCTAAAAATATATAGTAATTGCTGTAACCAAATTTCCAAACGAAAAAGGAATGACAATTGAAATAAATTTATAAAAACTAACCAAGGAAATGCAATTTCACTAGAAAACCTTGCAGATTTTATTTTTAATACTCTTCCGGAAGATTATAACACTGATTATTTTATTTGAATTCGGACGCAGCAACAAAAAATTATTGAAGAAAACATAATAAATCCAAATAGTAACAACTGGCTCGATAGTATTAATAAAAACTTTGTGACATTGCATAAATTGGCGGATTTACTTTTTGCCATTACGTTTATTGAGTTATTCGAAATAAATAAAATGATTAATTTAAATGATTAATTTATTACTTATTGTTATTATTGGTTGTATTTTTTTTTTAAGTTATAGGTTCACAAATTATCAAAAACGGCTTAGTCGATCTTGAGATAATGGTTGCCATGTGATCTGCATTTAATCGAAGGGCGACAACATGATGCAATCACAATATTTGGCTTATTAATTAGTAATACAAAGTAACTAGATTGTGGTTAAATGATTATCATAAATAAGAAATAGCAGGTTAGAAGATTGTGAGGGCAATTAATCTTTGACATCGAAATTATAGTTAAAAAAATAAACTTATGGTTATTATTATAATTAATTGCAATTATTGCGCAAAATTATGTGAGATTTGAAGACAAGTAATCACTGATCCGATTGCTTCAACATTTTTTTTGACTTTTAGGTTAGACAAAATTTGCGCATCTATTATGTTATAAAAATTTTAATATTTTTTATAGAAATGAAAGTTGTATATTCATTATTTTGTAATATATTTGCACAAATATGAGTTGCGCATTAAAGGGCGCTTTCAAGCAAAAAATTTGAGCCTTCTCCTGCGCAGATATCCATTGTCTAATAATTGTTATTAGCGCATCTTATGGATTACTCATGAGTAAGAAATCGGAAATCAATGATTACTTGTCTTAAATTTCACATAATTTTGCAAACCGCAAGAATTGTTTTGCAATTGTTTATCTGTAATAATTTAACTGATTGCAAATGTGTAATAATTTAATTGCAATTGAATTTTCGGTACCCCTGGTTAGAAGTCTTTAATAAGAATTATGAGTTTACTAATTTCCTCCCACATTTCCGATTGGTTCTACATATTGGAGCATGGTACTCCTATAGTGAGGGGTGGGAGAAATTAGTAAACCCAAGAATCATTTCTTGTACACGAATAAACGAGTGTTCTATTTAAGTAAGATTTTCAGTATAGTTTACCCTATATCGTTAACTCCGCGACAATAGAAAGCAGTTTTTCTCTTTCGTTTTTCATTTCTGCAGACAATTAACACTATGTAACTACAGTATTTTCATGAATCACTTATTATTTTTGAGTACTAAATAAATAAAATGGTTATTAGTATTTATTTAAATTAAAAAATATTTAAAATAGATCTTTTTTTCTTAATTGTACGAATTCTGACGCTCACTGTACTTACTATAGATTTAGGACAATATTATTTACCAGAGTATTCCATTCACATTTCGACGAAATTATTTCTCTTAACATATAATCGTGTCTAAAATGTCCAATACAAAAGAAAATGGTGCATTAGATAAAATTGCACAACTTACCAATGCTTTCGGTGAACTGAATTTTACTGCCTGTCAAAAATTAGCCAATACGAATGACCCAGATGGATTATTCTGGCTTGGTTATTGTTATGACCTCGGGATTGGTGTTGAAAAGAATAAGGATATGGCATTCATTTATTATCAAAATTCTGCAGAGGCGAATAATCCTGTCGGAATGTATAGAGTCGGATTTTGCTATGATATAGGTATTGGGATTGGAATAGATAAATATAAAGCATTTACATATTATCTAAAATCAGCCGAGGCAGATAATTCTTTAGGAATTTTTAAAACTGCTGTTTGTTACTATTACGGAATTGGTGTGGAAAAGAATAAAGATAAGTATTGTTATTGGATTAACAGGTAAGTTATTTAAATTTTATTTTTAACCATTGGAAATAATAAACTTTTTTTAAAAAGTAAGTATAACGATCAATTATATTAAGCATAAAAATCATTTATTTACAATAGTGCATGATGATTAATATGACTCAAAATCATTTCATTCATATTAATTTAGTCGTAAATATAAAGAAGATTTCTTAGTCTAAATTATTAAAATATGCCATTTAAGCACATAAGTATTTACTATTTAATTTCATTTATTCACGTTAATTTAGCCTGTGAGTATAAAGATATTTATTAATCACTCTCCAGGTGGGTTAGGTGACGTGATCGCTGACCATATGACCATGATAATACAAATTACATATTACGTTGGTCTTTCGCATGTAGACTAATAATCATTTCAACATAATACGTAATTTGTATTATCAGGTCGGAAGTGGTCGGCGATCACGTCACCGCGACATTTTTTCGCCATGACTATCCCTTCTCCACTCTCAGACCTTTAGTGTCTACGCAAGGTGATATAAAAGTTACGTTTTTGATGCATCTACCGAAAGTAGTCACTTTTTTGATGCATCTGCATAAACATTTGTCATCCGTGCGCGTGTTCAGATTTGTGCAACAAAAACAGTATACTCACGCGTTTGTGCGACAGGATAATCATCATGTGATATCAGTATCGCCACCAAAGAGTAAATCTACGGACACCTGCCAGCTCACGTGAATTTGTACCTATGGTAGGTAAAGTAGGTACAAAAATTACCCGAATTGGGGTGTCCGTAGACTTACACGCCACCAAAATGTGAAATTTTTGTGGCGTAAATAAATCAGATTTCAAGATCAGGTGGAATGTTACACGCCCAGGAAATTCAAAACAAACGTTCGCTTTGTCAAAAATCGTTTATTTCTCAAAACGCAAAAGTTTTCCTTGAACGATTTTACTATTAAACCCCTTTTAATCCTAACATTAGCATAGACCCTAACTCTAACCTAAACGAACTTTAAAGAATTTTCGGTCCTCGCGTGACTGCAACATTTTGGTGGTGATTAGAGATGGGAAAATCGAGGATTTACTGCGCAGGCTGTGCAGCCTGCACGAGCCTGCATTACGGCTAATGCGGGCCAAAATAGTTGATTTATGCGATATTCCGAAGAATTCCGTGCTTCCGGAAAATTCCGCCTGCGCAGTGTCCCATCTCTAGTGGTGATACTGGGAAAGATAAACAATGCTATGCATTTCCTAGTACAAGTATTTAGAATAAGTTGCCCAGTTCATAAATAAATAAATATTTACTATTTAATTCATTTATTTTTAGTATGTGAGTATAAGAGCATTTTTAATCTAGTATTTAACATAAAGCGATTCATGCTCATAAATATTTATTATCTAATTCCATTTCAGCCGGTGGGTATAAAAACGT